CCCTACCAACAATTGCCCAGGCTCTGCGATCCTCGATGTTTAAAGATGTTTTCAGCCAATTAAATTGCCCTGTTTATACAGTCTGAGGACACAACGAGAACATCCGGAGAAAAGCCACGCGTTCGTGCGAGGGAGCAACACTCTATCCCATGGAACAGATGGAGATCGGTCCACAGGGTGCCGCAGGAGCGAAATGTTAACTACCTTACCTGGTATACAGGAGGCCGTGGGTTCCATCCAAATCCTGACCCTGAAGCCGGCATATTTTGAGTTTGCATGATTCTCTCCGTGGTCCCGTTGATTTTCATCCGGGTCCCCCGGTTTTCCCTCCACATTTAGAAATATGCGTTTAGAGTATTTGGCTGCTATTAATGTCCTCACAAGCCACTTCGCTGAGCGATCATTTGCGACCAAGTCACTTCTGAAAAAGAGCTACATATCTGAGTCGACCTTGCCTGGTAGAAAAAATAATAATTTAGTTTTCACACTTTTCCGTGCCGCATTTCGCCTGCCGAACCAGGGGTACGACTCCTCGATGCCCACGGGGAAGGGAGTTTTACAACCCATCTGTGCGGTGATCCACCAACCCTCGCTGCTCCCTCCACAGGACCGGTTCAGATAATCGCCGTTGATGTTGACCGTGGCTGCAACAATGTAGGCGGCTGGTGTGCTAACCGCTGCGCCACCGCCCCCCACTCCACCCCTCCCCCATCCCCCGACAACGTTCGTGCTTCGTGTGAGGTTCTGTTCAAAATTGTTTACCTTTTCCCCTCGTTCACCCAGGACAGGTTCGCCGAGTCTCGGTGCCTCTTTTTCATGAGAGTCCTGCCAAGTCTGTGCTGGTGGGTGGGTAAAGGAGGGGGGGGGATGTTGCCATCATGCCAATGACTAATTTGCAGGTCTTGTTTCAGCATTTGGCGGAGGCCAACAGCCAGTTGCATTGTGGATGTTAGCGAAGGGACTGCACCGGAGAGCCCAGAGAGGAAACACGTGCAGGATCGAAGGCCAACAAACATACCACTGCGCCAGGTTACGCCTGTTCACAGGATAGAAAGATGCCCCGTTATAGCCTTCACAGACTGTTGCGGCGACTGCTGTCAGCAAGCACCCTTGAAGGCCTGCACTGTGGGCACACACACGCCCGGCTGCCTTTGTCTTCCCAGCGCGGATGTTTGCACGCCACACCCGGTATTCATTTGAGGCTCAGTCGACCTAGGGGAGGCCCAGGACCGGCTCAGATAATCGCCACTGGTGTTTGTGGCCGTGAGCGGGAATCGAAGTCGAGTTCGTCGAGCAGCACGCTAACCACTACACTAGCGCTCCACACACCTGTCCAACAACAACCGCCATTCGACACTAAGTGGCGGTGACGTCACCACGACGCTTGTGCCAGGCCATTGTGCACCTTGAGGCCACGTGAAGTGTTGAACGCCCGCTGGCAGGAGGTCACGGGGCAGACCCAGGTGCCACAGGTCGACTGACTGAGATGACTGAGATGACTGGCTGATGCACCACCTGTGCCCCCTACTGTACCAACTTGCTCTGCTTTAACCACCCGGCGCTCCGCTCGTTGTTAGCGTCGCTCCTCCGCCCTCTGTTGTTGTTGGTGGGCGACTGCCTCCAACTGTCCAGTAGCGTCCTTCACGAGCTTCCTCCACTGAGGCCGATCTTGACACTGCTGGTACCAGTCATCGGCAAGTCCACTCAGCTCCACGTACTCCTGTACCACATCACTCCATCTCTTCCCTAGCACTCGCCGCGCCCGTTTAGTCCCCTCGATCCGCCCGAACAAAAGCTGTTTAGGCATGCGGTGGCTGGGCATGCGGGCTACATGACCCAGCCAACGCAGCCTTGCCTGCCACAGGAGCTCACCGATGGGACTTTGCCCAGATCTTTCAAGGATTTGTGAGCTCCTCACACAATCCAGCCTGGTTAAACTCAGGATGTATCGTAGGCAGGCAGCCTAAATGTTTCCAACCGGCGAAGATGCTCCATTAGGGGGGTCCACGTTTCGCAAGCGTAGAGAAGGGAGGGAATGACTGTGGCAGAGAAGACCCGAAGCTTCGTGCGGAGCGACAAACCAGGCAGCTTACACACAGCGTTATGCAACCGATGAAAAGATATTGCCGCTCGACTGATTCGGAATGAGAGCTCCGCTGCCAAACAGAGCCTGTCATGAGCACACTGTCCACGTGTGGGAAACTTTCCACTCTAACCACAACTGCCCCATCACCGATTAGGAGTTGTGGGGGTGGAGTGTCCGATGGTACAAAATACCCAGGCAGGTGCTTAGTTTTGATGGGGCTGATGGTAAGGCCCCACCTGTACACACACACAATAGAGTCGAGGCAATGCTACACCACGTGTGCCCAGAGGGAGCGAGGTGTTATGTTTGTTGTGAGCACAGAGCCCACAGCATTCATTCGTTCTGTGTTGATGTCCGTGTGCTGAGATCGGTGGCGCAGTGGTTAGCGCACTGCACTGTCAACTTGCCCGCACGACCTCGATTCTAGTTTCGATGCAGTGGTGCACAGGCACGTCAATGAATACGTAATTTGGCAACAGCACTGACTGTGGCCTGAACAAGGAAAGTAAGAGGTGACGATTCGGGCAACGGTGCTCCTTCAGAGCAAATATGCAGAGAGGTCGGCTCGCAACCTCCAGAAGTAAGATTCCTCGGGCAGAGTTCCCCAGCGGTGGAAGACATCGTCCGGAAGGGGGTCATGAGATGTCCCCCATCTCAGGAGACGCGGTGGCGTGAGCTGACGGTGTACAATGTAGGCAGGTGCAGACACAGGCCTGCAGGTAAGCCACGCAGGTTGACGTGCATTGAGCACAGGTGCTTAAACGTCCGCGTGGTCGCCTCGGTGCGTATGCATGAGCCATTGCACATCGACACGCGTCGAATGGACCACGATACGTGTCGTATGCACAGGAACTACGCGGCCCCAAACTAACAATGCGTGGACTCGGCGTGCTGTTCATTGCTTTAGCGCCCACAGGGAGAGCCTTGGCTCGGCAGAGTTAAAGGAGAGGGTGGGCGGAGGGGGAGGGGCAGGAGGCGAGGGGGGTGGAGGGGCTCTCACCTGCGCACAGGTAGGACAGATGCCTCACCTGTAGTCACAGTTAAGGGCGTCGCGGATATGAGGAGGCGGGCGGGGGGGGGGCAATGGTGCGGCTCAATGAGCCCGAAGGTCGGGCGTCGACGCGGGATTGCCGAGAACGTGGCGTCAGCGCTGATTCCGTGGTGATACGGAATCAGCGACTTCGGTTCCAATGTCTCCCCCCTCCCCCCCATTGGAGTGTGATAATGGAGTCGCCCCGCGCTGCCAGCGTGAATCACACCCCCCCCCCCCCACACACCATCGAACTCCGTAATTTCGATCGGATCATTGGGGTTTATTAGTAATAAATCGGCATTTTGCGACCCCCACTGCCATTGTGTAGCATATTATTGTGCCAGGGACTCTATGATATGATATGACAATAGTCTGAGCCCATAATTGGCAATAAGTAACGGAAAAGCAGTTATAAGTGACTCAGAATTGTGCGCAGTTGTGTCTACAGCACACGACTTCCCTGAAGGCATCAACACCTTCAGCGAGCGCGATGCCGATCACACAACGCGGTTCGAATTCGACCCTCGATCGATGGCTGCGCCATCGCCGCACACGCGTCGAATAAAAAGCAAGGGACAAGTCCTTACTGACTAACAACTCCTCTATCATGTTTCATTGCTGGAGGGGTTGCCCCCCCCCCTACCTGGAAATCCTGGCTCCGCCACCACATTCCCTTCCACTCACCCCACATCCCCTGCTCCCATACCCAATGGTTCACCTCCCCACACACGCCGCCATACCTTGACCACCCCCCTCCCCGCCACGTCTCCCCCACCTCCGGCCACACCCAATCCTCACCATCCCTCACCCCACTCACCTGCCCCCCCCGCTTCGTCCCCACCTCTAACCGCACCCAACTGTCCCCACAAAAAAACCGAACGGGCTACATTGGTCGTCAACACTGCCGCTGGCAGTGGTGCACTCCGTAACACGAGCACACAGTCACAAAACTATTAAACTCGTTTTATTTTACCATTCAAGGCGCCGCCGAGCGGTACACCTCGTTTCCCAAGCGACCTTCGTCCACGCGCGCGTCCCCCTCATGGTGGGGTGTTCCGCGGTCCTTGCGCCAGCCGTCTTCACGCTGCCCTGTCCCATCTCTTTCCGCTCCTCGTGCCACCATGGTCCTATCGCACCACATCGCACCCCACCTCTTCGTCTGCTTTCCTCTTGATCTTTTCCTTCCACATTGACTCCGTTGTTTCTCCACATGGCCGCACCACACCAGCCGTTCTCTCTCATCTTGTAATTTCTACCACCTCGAGGCTTCTCTCAATTTCTCACCCGGTCCTTTATTAAACCACAACATCTCCGACTGCCATAGGTTGGTCCTCCCTCTTTCTTGTGCCCCAGCACTCAGCCCCACACAACACGACCAGCCTCACTGTCTTGGTCACTTTCCACTTAAAATCAAACTGGGACCCGACTCTTACCACACGCAATTTCACCCATCCAGCCCAACCTGGCAAGCAAATGATCGTTTCAGCGGGTCATCACGTAAATGTGCACAGCAGCCAAATTACTCTAAATCCACGATATGGAGTCTAGAAATATGGAGCGAAAAACCAGAGGCTGGAGAACTACAGCCACGAGGGGACATTAAAACTCCACATGCAGTAGGTATCGGATCGAACCCATGACCCCGGCATGAGGCGAGGGAGTTCCAGCCACACCCATCAATACACCATTACGGCCATGACAAAGGGACAAGTCTATAGTAGGCGACGTTTCAGGTCATGGGTCCCCTTCTTCATAGCACGTAAGAACCCCCCCTGTGAAATATGTTTTTGTACAGCACACGTGAACATGTAAAACACACCACGAGGAGATGTCAATGCAACTCCATCGCCAGCAAAAATAAAACCCACAAAATCCAACGAGTGAGCAGGTACAAATATTCTCTTTTTTATTATTATTGCAAACGCGTTTTGGTCAAGCAAACAGCACCAAGACACCAGCCGCATGCCGCTTCCACCCCCAGCAGTCTCACAAACACCCAGGGTGGCGGAGGGCCCACGAACGAGAAAACCAGTGAGCAGAACTACTGTGGGGGAGGGGCAGCAAAGGGGGGGGGGGGGGGGAGTTGGAGGAGGCAGTGGTGGTTGGGGTGTCGTTATTCCAGTGCCACCGATGGATTTTAGGCAGTTAGCCAAAATTAGGTACATTTCCCCCCCCCCCCCACCTCTTCACTACCGCGGCGATGAACGTGCCAGCCAAATGAAAGCGGATCGGGGAATTAACGAGCTAAAGACTGGGGTCTGCACGGCGCGACATTAGAGGCCGTCACACCCCTACAGCCAAACGCGTGAAGCAACGTTCCAAGTCACCTGGGGCAGTCTTAGAACTCGGGACACCGAAAACGAACAGTACACAACCCGAACTAACTCACCCCCAACCAGAGTCCTCAAAACGTGCCGCACACAGCACTTCCTTGCCAGTGTCACCACTCTGGGAACTCCCCCCCCCCCTCCATCACTGACCACTAACACCCACCCCACCGCTTGTATCTGGGAAAAAAAATCACTTCTTGGCCGGAGACTTCAAGGCCTGCGCCTCGATGGCGTCGTAGCAGGCGGCCGTGAGGGCCGCGATGAAGATGATGAACTCTTTGAAGTCCACCTGGCCGTCGCCATCTTCGTCCAGATTCTTCAGCTCCTTCTCGATCACCGCCGGGTCGCTGGCGTTCTGTGCGGGGCGAGGTGGGTGGGTGGAGGAGAGCGAGTGAGGAGGGGTCGGTGGGAGGTGTGCTTGGGGGTGAAAGGGGATACGCCAGGTGAGGTGGTGGGTGGGGACGGAGGAGGTAGGGCGAGCGAGTGGGAGAGGGGAGGGGAGAACACGCAAGTTGGAGGGGAGTGATGGAAACGGGGAGGGGTGCGTGTAGGAGACGGGCCACGCGTGGGGACGCGCAGGGGAGAGCGTGCGTGGGGACGCCGCGAGCCCCGCGGGGAGACCCCCGTCAGGGTTGCGGGGCGTGGCGTTGCCATCTTCCCCAACAGCGCAACAACCTCGACCGCCCCCGGGTTCCAATTACCAGACAATGGAAAAGACTAAATAAATCACTGTGGAGCGTCTCTCGTTAGCCACGGCCGGCAATCAAACCCAGAGGGCCCCAACGGCCGTGCAGCCCCACGCCCAGACATGCCCGCTGGAGAAGGAGAAAAAAAACTCTTGCCTTCTTTAAACTCTCATTTCAATAATTAATACCCAATTTGCTCGTAATTAAGTCTGCAAAGCGGGTGGATGTTCTGCCACTTAAACTTCTCATTGCTGTTATGTACCTGCACGATTTAAAATGTATAGCATCTGGCAGGCTTCAGAGACTAAATAAAAAAGTGTCCATACCAGTCGAGTCGTCACCTGGCTTAAACAAAAACGTAAAAATTCCACATACGCACACCCCTCGTTTTCCACCGCAACACCGTCACAAAAAACCCCCCGATTAATCATTAACCGATGGTTCATGGTTGCCGTACCATCGTTAGGGTGGCGGTTATAGCTTCTGCACCAACATTGCGCAAGTGCTGCGAGTGAGCGCCCACGTTCAGAAACGAGGGTCTGGGTGTGGTCACTACCACGCCCGACCCAAATGTCCGATGTTTAACGCAGCGCACACAAGGTCAACTCGATATAGGTGGAGGTCAGGTCCAAGAAAGGTTAATTAACTTTGCACTATAATGCAACATGCTAATCCAAGTTCATTTCCTTTAACATGCCACGCTATTACCTTTACACTATTAGCCCATTAACATTACTTCGGCTGCCTTCGCTCTCAAAACGTGTATAAACTCTTGTAGGTAGCAGCTTCTCTTCACATGGGAGCAGCCATCGCAGCCGTCGCGATGTCCACCTGAAGACGGGCGGCTTGCGTTGCGTTCGAAACGTCGCGATTCATTTTATTTCTACCTACGCGACTTTACCGAAAGAACCAAAGAGTATGGATTCCTGCAGGTCGCGAAAGCTTCAAATCAAGATTGAAAGGTTCAAATATTGACAGAGCGCGACTCGAATTGTTGTCAAAGTGCCCTGCGCAAATCACAGCGCAACCGCTCACCCAGCCTTTAAACAGACCGATGTTGCAAGTGCTGTTAGCGAGTAGCAGCAGAACCACCACCACGCACGGCCACTACCCACCCACCACCACCACGCCCGGCCGCTACCCACCCACCACCACGCCCGGCCGCTAGCCACCCACCACACGGCCAGACCCACCTGAAGATACCCGGGCAGCTCCTTGTTCAGGAGCGACTTCAGCTCGGATTTGGAGAGCCTGGAGCTGTCGCCATCCTTGCCGGCATACGACTTGAAGATCCCCATCATGGAGGCGATGGTGAGTTCCAGACCGGTGGGCACGTACTTGTCAGCCATGCTTGCTTTGCTGGCAGGAGGTGGGGGGGGAGACAATGGTGATGGGAGGGGGGGGGGGTAATACAGCTAAGTTTTTGAAATGTTCGGAATCAAAAGCTTCAGGAGGCAAGAGTGCTGCTTGTGGACAAGCACGTGGTATGGCGCACACACACGGGATGGTGGCCAAAGCGGTAACCGTAAAAACATGGGTTTCGTTATGGAATGAGATAGCAAACCAACCAAAAGCTTCACACACAATCGTCACCTCGCTACCACCGTTTAGTGAAGAAGCCCTGGGTGGTACACCACTACTGCAGGAGCTCTCCGCCCCACCCAAATTGGAGCACGGTGGAGGATTGTGCGACCATACTTCACCACGCTGGACAGCGCGGGTTGAGCGAAAAGGATTAAAAAAAACCACATCAGCAACGTCGATGCAGCCGTAGGTGCTATTGTCCCAACAGAATGCGGCGACCATTCGCTTAAATATTAGAAATACAAGTGGCGACTATTGCAAGCGCAACGCCACGAGATGGAGGTGGCCGCTGGCTTGCTTGTTCGCACATGTGTATGCGCGCAAGTCTGTGCGGGTGTGTAAAAGCCCTCATCCAGCAGTGGGTCGCCTCGCAGCTACAGCCGATGAAAGACGAAAAGCCAACAAAAAACACCATTAGCCACGGCCATTGCGCGTACCTCTCCCCTCCCTAAAAAAAAAATCTAAAAATTAAAGACTTAATATAAAAAAAATTTTCTTACCAAACCGAGCTGGCGTTAAAGACCTGAAGCGATGGAAAGTGGGCACCCTGCGAATCCGCTGTGGCCGGCGCTCCGCTCCACGCTATTTATACCAAAGGCGCCCATCGCCACACCTGCGCCGTCACGTGACGCGCGGGTGAATGATTCATGAGCAGCCACGGCCCCTGGGCCAATGAAAACGAAGGCAAGGCACGGGAGCACGTGGGGGACGTGGGGGTAGTCCCCCCCCACCACCCCCCCTTGATTTAATGAGCAGCTGCTGGGGTGCAATGAGGTAAGAATGACGACGTCCCGCGTTGCGTTATCGCGGGGTGGGTGGGGGGTGATGGGGGGTGGGTGGTGGTCGTGGGGGATTGTAGCGCGCCGTTGTGATTTCACGAGTCTGGGGGTGGGGGGTGATTGCAACACGATTTTTGTCCCTGGGTAGGAAGTGCTATTTTCTAAATGCTTATGCCTCAAAAGTATAGAACATGGCGATTATTCCCCACAAACTTTGCTTTTACCCATCCTTTTAACTGACTTGCACAGCGGTGTCTGTCTCACCGGCCCAGGTGTTCTGGGTCGGCGGTTGTCTGAGAAGAGTCGGATATTCCACATTCCTATGACAAGTGAAGGTTATGTGGGGTGTGGGGTGTCGGTCCCCTTTATGTGCACGCAAGTATAAAAAAGAAAGATCGCCCGTATAGCCTAAACAGACTGTAGGAGCAAGTGCTGTTAGTGAGCGCCTATGGACGCCGGAACCACGCCCAGCCGCCTTTGTCTCCCCAGTGGCGATGCTTTTACGCATCGCACCAGATGCTCATTTGAGGCTGAGTCGACCTAGGGGAGGCGCAGTGCCGGTTCAGATATAATCGTCACAGATATTGGCGGTGAGCGGGAATCAAACTCGGGTCGACAGGTTTGCTTAGTGACTCATGCAGCCAGCTATGACTGTAGAGTTTGGTAGTACATGTTGTTAAAGTTGTTTATTGAAAATTCGGTCACAGTTCCTATGACCACTGTTTCATTTCTTTTATGGTTTTATTTTGGTGATTTTCGGAAAAAAAATGTTGGTTTGGCCATGTTTGTTTGTTGTAGTACAGAGTAAGACTGATGGCCTTCATCTAAGTTGTCTTGTGGTTGTTGTTGTTTGACTTGCATCCCACTGGGATTTTTGCACACAGTGTTGGTGTACGGTGCTTTTTCTGCAATATTTTGCTGTCTTTTCTTGGATTTTCTGTTTGCACATATTCACTTTAAGATGTATTCTTGTTCATGTTTTTTGTTTTTTGTTTGTTGCGGTTCCACCCGATTCAAGAGCCGAATGGCTCACAGGGCTATACTTAATAAATGGACTTGAACTTGAGGTATAACGCACACACACACAATACAAATACCGCCCCCACCACCACTACCCCGTCTATCCTTTAACTGACTGCTGGGGCAAGTGGCGCCAACGTTCGCTACCGGCGCCAATGTTCGCCACCGTTATTGATCGTGAGCACACACACAGCTGCGCACGGTTTGAACAGGTAGCACTGATGGGTAGGGGGAGGGTGGTGGTTGTTAGGTACACCTCGATCCAATTTAGGATTCACTCACCGCCGACCGCACGAGGTTACAGACCTGCGCGGGCTCTGGGTATTATCCACTGTAGTATGCATAGTGTGGTAAGTGGTTGTGTGTGTGAAGGAGTTTGTGTGTGCGTGTGTTCGGAGTTTGTATATGTCTGTAGGTTTTGTGTGTGTGTGTGTTCGTGTATACTTTGTACATGTATACTGTGTGCATGCATACTGTGTACGTGTATACTGTGTACGTGTATAGTGTGTATACTGTGTATAATGTGCATGTACAATATGTACGTGTATACTGTGTACATGTACAATATGTACATGCACAGTGTGTACATGCATAGGCTGTGCATGTGTAGGGGGATTAATCGGCACTCACCATCCTGTTGGCTGGTAGCTCCCCTTCTCGTCAACAGGCGGCGGCAGCGCTCTCACGCCACGGTCAGTGACCGTGGCCCAAGGGGCCAACGACAATCGCTGGGAAGCGGATCCTGGGACACATTCCCCGGACCCCGGGAGGGGAACCCGGGGGATGATGTCACCTTCCAGAAAGTTCTGGAAGGGAGGCGGGGCTATGACGGAGCAAGCCACGAGCCAGTATATAAGCCGGACCTCTCAAGGGTCTGGCTCGGTCATCTGCAAGACGAAGACGGAAGACCTGTGCTGAGGTTAGGACCCTGGACCCCAAGGTCTGCCGTCCTTCTAAGGGCCGGAGCTGAGTGAGGCCAGTGGTCAGGGCCTACGGATCGGGTCCGGTCGGGTCAGCGTAGCCTCCCCTAGGGCCCCCAGGAAGTAAACGGGATTCCCAGTGATAGGGCCCGTGTAGTCCGGAGGCCATACCTCTCCAGGTATAGGGTAAGGGGCCGCTACCCCGTTGTATTAGGGACCTTGTAAATTAGAGTCCTAATAAATATCGTGTTGCCTCACAAGAAGTTATCCGTCAATGATTACCCACTACACATGCATACTATGTGTATGTATATTGTGTACGTGTATAGTCCGTACATGTACAGTGTGTGCATGTATACTATGTGCATGTTTAGTGTACATATGTAAAGTGTCTACGTGTATATCATGTACTTGTATACTATGTACGTGTACGTATGTAGCGTGTAATATATTATGTGTATAGTGTGTACGTGTATAGCATTTACATGTACCGTGTGTGCATGCAAGTGTATGCATGTATAGTATTTTCATGTTTATTATGCAAATGTATACTCTGTGTATGTATACTGTGTACGTGTATAGTGTGTGCATGTATAGTATGTACGTGTATACGCCAATTCACGCATTCAGTCTATTCTCGGATGTCTCCGCCGTCAGCAACGGAGGGCAGTGAACGTCGCTTTGAGTCTAAGTGGGTTCAATGGCCCCAGCAATGCATCCCGGAGTGTGTCGTTTCTGCCCCTCAATACACGGACACACCTTCTCACAACGCAATGTACTCGTATAATTTTAATACAGTAAAAACATGAGACTATTTAGAATGATAATATTTAGCAATTTTTTTCAGGGGTTTGTGCGTTATTTAACGTATACTCTTGGTGCAGCTATTCATCTGCCAATTTAAGAACTGGTGTCATCAGAAGATACATTTTTAAATTCAATTGTCATGAGGCCCCATGATGGAAACAAGGCCGTTTCCAACGTCGCATATTATGTAATTATTCCGATTAAGGCTACAGTGCTATTGACAAATGTATTGAGTATACAGTGATGGAAAAAAGTATTTGATCACCTGCTGATTTTGTACGTTTGCCCACTGACAAAGAAATGATCAGTCTATAATTTTTATGGTAGGGTTATTTGAACAGTGAGAAACAGAATAACAACAACAAAATTCAGAAAAACGCATGTGGCCGGTGGCGTGACAAGATGGCGGAGATGCAGTCCGGACTCCAGGCTCCCACACCGACCCCCGAGTCCTCCCCCTGCCTCTCCTTATATTCCTTTCGGCAGAGCCAAACTCCTCCTCTAACCACGCCCCTCTCAGAACCTTCCCGATGGTTCCTCCATATAGCCACGAGCTCCGCTCATTAACTTTGGCCCAGATGGAGCCGTTAGCTCTGATTGGCTATGACTGATGCAGCAGTGCCTATGCAGCCCTCCGTCGCCCGTCGGTGCGCTCTCTCATTACACGTGCATAGTACAATGTGTAAACTGGTGGCAAGTTCTTGGGTCCAGGTTGATGAGGCAAGGCAAATCTGCTCCGGGGTTTCCAGTCCAGTGTAAAAATACCAGATGCAGGTGCAGGGCTAAGGGAGAACGACACGGTGGCTAGGAGATGTTAACTACCTCGCCTGGTATACAGGAGGTCGTGGGTTTAATCCCGACCCTGAAGGCTGCTGCGTATTTTGAGTTTGCATGTCTATACATTTCCACGTGACAAGCCACTTCGTTGAGCCATCATTTGTGGCCAGGTCGCTTCTGTTAAAGACCTGCAAAGCTGAGTGGGTTTTAACTGACAATGAAACAATGGTTTAGTTGTATAACCAGAACACAAATGTAATGAAGATGGTGATGCTGACTTAACGCTGCTCGCCCCAGTGCTGAGCACCCTACCAAACCAGTTGTCAATAGGATCTCTCTCCGTCTCTCGTCGAGTCCGGTACAAGTTCATAACTCGTGGAACGCAGTGACCACGTGTGGTAACGCGGATTGCGATGATGGCGATGATGCAGCCAAGTTAGACAATGGTGTTTACACAAGAGTGCATTCATGCGACACACTTCCATATTCTTTGGTTCTTTCGGTAAAGTCACGTAGGTAGAAATGAAATAAAATAAAACAAATCACGACGTTTCGATCGCAACACAAGCAATCTTCATCAGGTGGAACAACGACAGCAAGAAAAAATGCTGAAGTAGGCGAGAGAGCTGCCGTGGCAAGAGGTTATATAGGTAAGAAAGGGGGGAGGAGCAAGGGAGGAGAGAGAGGGGGGGGCAGGGGAAGGGGAGCTGCGTGAGCACTAGGGGGAGAAGAAGTGAGGCTGGGGGTGGGAAGTGGGCGGGGCTAGAAGTGAGAAGATGAGTGTGGGACACGGGGGGAAAATAACTCAGAAAAATAGACTAGTATGATGGAAACAACCACAACCAGTTAAGGCTTTACCTGGTTAATAACATCCTTACAATGGTTGCTCAATTTGTATCCATCTTCTCGGTTGAAATTATGTCTATGTTTATATATCTGGATGGCTTCATGAACAAACCTTTGATCGTTGCCCGAGGGTTTGCAGAGTACCTTGGTCTCAGAAAAAAACAATATCGTGCGAGCCCACAGCATTATAACAATGGTCAGCCACGGCAGAGGTATTGGTTCTGCCGTGTTTCAGATCTGCCTTGTGTTCGCGAACACGGTCCGAGACATGTAGTTTTGTTTCCTCGATGTAACTGCTACCGCAGGTACAACTCAGTTTGTAGAAACCAGGATATTACATGTCAGGAATGACCTCCTTCACAGAAGGGATTAGATCACGGATTTTGTGTACTGTATTGAATCAGACCTGGATCTTGTGTTTGTTTAAGATT